ATTGGAGCATTGTCCTGATGCTCCAGGTTTTTGGGTTTGATCCCTCATTGGGGCACATGCAAGAACTAACCAGTGAGTGTGTGTGTGGGCGCGGCAGCGAACCGATGTGTCTCTCTGTTTCCCCCTTCCTCTCACTCTCTAAAATCAGCACATTTTGTAAAAAGTTTTAAAAAAAGTTTTACTGATGCTTTTGATAGTTTTGGTGCTGTTGTGTTTCCTGTGATCTTTTGCTAGTTTGTGGAAATAAAATTGAATTTTCAGGTTGACCTTGTATTCTGCAGCATTGCTAAAATCTGTGATAATGGTTTTTTTGGTAGGTCCTTTGTGATTTTCTGTATAAAATGTCATATTGTCTGGAGTAGATACAGTGTTATTTTTTAATTTTCAATCCATATGCCTTTTCTCTCTTTCTTCTTGCCTTATTGCACCAGCTGGGCGCTCCAGAGTGATGCTGACTATTGGTGAGAGCGGTCCTCTTTGACTTGGTCTTGGTCTTTGGGGAAAAGCACTTTCATGATTAACCGTGATGTTAGCTGTTATTATTATTCAGATGTTCTTTATCAGATTGAGGCAGCGCCTTTTTTCCTCTAGTTTTCTGCGAGTATTTATCAGGAGTGGGTGTTGAATGTTGGCATCTGCCTCTAGTCGGGTGACCAAGTGGCTTTTCTCTTTCAGTCTGTTAATATGCTGAACTATATTGTTTGGTTTTCACATGTCAAATCAGTGTTAACTAACATTCCTGAAATAAAGCCCCCTTTTCCCTCTTTATATATTGTAACATTTGATTTGCTCACATTTTGTTGAAGATTTTTGTGTCTAAATTAATGAAGGACCAACTTGTTTTCTTTTGTGGAAATGTCTATGTGTTTTTGGTTTAAAAAAAAATTCTGGCCTCTTGAAAGAATTGGGAACTGTTTTTTTCCCCCCTTTTTTATTTCCTGGAAGAATTAGTGTAGAAATGCAATTATTTCCTTCTCCAACTGTTTAGGATTCGCCAGTCCAGCCCACTGAATGAGGAGCTTTATTTTTTGGAAGGCTTAAACAGACCGATTCAATTTCTACAGTGGATGCGGTCCACCTTCGTACGTCTTTTCCTGAGTGAGCGCTGGTAGTTGTGTTCCACCAGGGAGCAGCTGTACCTGTCCAGGTTGTTCAGGTTGTTGAACTGTCGGACATAACGGTTTTTGTGATGTTTTCCTATTATTTCTGCAATATCTATAGGATGTGTGGTGGTATCTCATCTTTCATTCTTGATATTGTTAATTTGTGTCTTTCCTCTTTTTTTCTTAGTCTGGCTAGGGGTTAATGAACATTATTGATTTATTTGAAGACCCAGCTTTTGGTTTCATTCATTTTTCTCTGTGTTTTCTGTTTTTATTGATTTCTGCCCTTACTCATATTATTTTTTTTTCCTTTTGCTTGTTTTGGGTTTAAATTGCTGTTCTTTTTCTAGTGCCCTGAGTCGGAAGCTTGGGTGCTGACTCCAGAACCTTCTTTTCTGGTATAAGCATGTTGCATGTTCGTAAAGTAAAAAGTGACCAGTCTTTCATTGCTTTCCTTTGGCTGCCCACTTGTCACCCTGGAGACAACTAATGTCACTTTTTCAGTGTCTCTTCACAGTTGGTTAAATGTATACAAACAAATACACATGCTCTTCACCTTACAATGGGATTGTGTCCCAATAAACCCACCATACGGTGAAGATACCCTAAGTTGGAAGTGCACTTCGTGCTACTCAGTAGAGCACCGACTGTTTACCTGTGGTCACGTGGCTGACTGGGAACGCTGCCCCTGTTTAGCATCACGGGAGAATATCACACTGCATATAACAAGCCCAGGAAAAAGTCAAAATCTGACATGATTTCTACTGAATGCATATTGCTTTTGCACTGTCATTAAGTTGAAAAATTCTAAGTTGAACCATCATAAATTGGGGACCGTCCATGAGAATATTATTTTTGCTCTTTCCTTTTTAAAGTAATTGGTAGACTGCATTCTAGTAATTATTTTGTTCCATGCCTTGCTTTTTCTATGTAGTAAACTATCTTAGATATATTCTGTATCTTTCATATATTACATTTAAAAAAAATTATTTTAGTGAGAAGGGAAGGGAGGGAGAAAGAGAAGGAGAGAAACATCACTGTGTGAGTGAGTCATAGATCCATTGCCTCTCGCCTCCAACTGGGGACTGGGCCCACAACCCAGGCATGTGTCCTGGCTGGGAATGGAACCGGTGACCTTGCGCTTTATAGAATGACACTCAAGCAACCGAGCCATACCAGTTAGGGCTATTTTTCTTTAAAATTTTTTTTTTATGATAATGTGAATGTCCAGCCTTCTCTTAGTGAACACCCAAGGATGGGGCCTGGGCCTTGGTAGTTTTTTCTTCTTTCATATACTTTTATTTTTGAAACTTTTATTATGGGAAATTTTATACATTGTAGTTTTTGAACACGCAACCTTCCGATCTGGAGTCAGACGTGCTACCGTTGCGCCACATTGTAGTTTTTGTATCTTAAGTGTCTTTTAACTGACAGGTTTCCCCTTCTTCATTTCCCCCTAAAACCATTAGCTGTGTCCAGGAATGGTAACCTTCATTTTCCCAGGAAAACCTTCATTTTCCCATTTAAAAAAAATTGCATTTTTTTAAAACAGCAGTTTTTGAGAACTAGGAAACAAGTACAGAAAACAAAGTGCAGTTCAAAACGAATCTCGATAAAGCAAGTGCGTCCTGAGCACTGGGGGCCAGCAGCCTGGAAGCTCCGTTCTGTGCTGCAGCCGCCCCTGCCCCGGGTGGTTCAGTGTCCTGATGTTTATGAAGATCTCTTCTGTGGTTCATTTTTGCTTTCCCCAGTGGAATTCCCCAGATAGTCTTGCATCATGAAATGTGTTTGCAGAAAAATATTTTGAGCATGTTTACCTTAAAAAATGTCCTTAGCGGGGTTCGCACATGCGGCTTGGCTCCGCTGCTGGGGGGGCCCTTCTCTGCACTCGCCCTGACGACCCTCAGGCACGTCTGCTCTCCCCTGGGCGGCAGGCATGTCTGCTGCTGCTGCTGCTGCTGCTGCTGCTTTCTGTGCCCGAGCAGGATAGAAGCTGCCTGCCTCAGAGTTCTTGGTTGTAAGTGCTAGAAACCATCTTGGGCTAGTTTATTAAAACGGGGTGGGTGGGTCTAGCTAAAGACTGAGAGTGTTGGGAGGGTATAGGCTCAAAGATCACACTGTCACAAACTAAGCTCAGAGTCACACCCATGGCCTCGCAAAGCCCTTCTGCTGCCAGTCCCGGCACCGATGTTGCTGCTTGTGCTCCAGGTACCACTGATGCTGGGCTGCTGGTGCCGCCCCAACTCTCTCTCTATTGCCACAGGACACGGGGTATGACTGCCTCAGCAGCTGCCATGCTCTGCCGTGGACTCTGAGTTCCAGCTGCTGAAAGATGATAGTTTTCTGTTTGAAGCCTAGAGCTGCATCTGATTGGTGGAGCTCGTGTAGTGTGCCCATGTCTGGGTTTCAAGAAAGATGGGGAAGTAGGTATCTGAGGGTTTTTTTCCTGGTATTTTATTAGTGAGAAGAGTACCTGTCACATAAAGAGGGTCTGCTTAAACGTAGACTCAGCATTTGGGTGGTTGCTGACCGAAAGGAGACATCCACTGTTAGAGGTTCTCTATCGGTTTTGGACACCCATTCGCTTTAACATAATTGATGCTTTTTCTGTGACATTGCCTCATGTGATGCAGCAGGTATACGACACGGGAATGTTCCCGATCGTTTCCAGGTGCTGTGTAAGACAGGCGGACAGTCTCGGCGTTTGCAAAGATCTGTGTATTTAAAACTCCCCGTCCAAATTTTAACTGGCTGTAGGGATTTCCATTTCATCTTATGAGTAAACTTACAGAGATGTCATGGCGATGTTTTCATTGAGAACCTTCTGGCTTATAGATAATTTGCCTTTCTCCAGGTGTGATCTTACTATATACAAAGGTTCAGAAAATGGGAGACACTCAGTAAATATAACTAGGGTGGTATAATATAGTAAATATAAATGGCAAGTATAATGGGGCCATTAGTAAACATAAAGAGGACGACACTTGCTTATAAAACTAAGTATTCTCATTATTGCACAGGTATTTTACCGAGTTGCTAGGAAACTGTAAGCACAAGCTGTATGAGACTAGCACAAAAACCCTTGTTAACTTACACACGATAATTTAAAACACTGAGTAGTGGACCTTTCATCTGCCGTGAGACCGGGGCGTGGGTGCCTGGGCGGGGCAGGGGGCCTGTTGGGTCAGGGGCCTTGCTGGCATTTGCTCAGCTCTTCGGGCGCTGTGCAGCGTTGCCTCCGGTGATCTGTTTATACTCTTCCACATCTCCGCTTTCCAATTCCTAAAAAAGGTTTACTGCTACTGATCCTTCCCCTTCACTTTTCTCACAGTTGTGGTATGGGAAGGTTTGAGACAGGTATGACCGAGCTTCTTAGAATAAACACTGGGTACCATGAGTGTCACAGTAAAAACAAAGGTGAATGTCCTATAAAATCTCTATAGCAACGTGCACCCTGTTGGTTTAGTATATAACAATAAACGATTGTTATAATATGTTGGTGGAAGGACACATTTCTGAACTAGTATTCAAAACAAGCAATGCCACAGTTTTGACTGCGCAAAAACACTGCAGCTGTGGATTTGATGGACTAAATTGATAAGAAATCTACTTCTGTGTAGGCCTCTGCCTGCCCAGCCAGCAGAAACTGCTTTACAGAATGTTTATGAAACCAGTTTCCTAATAACCTGGGTTACAGGTGGTTTTAGCACTCCTCGCTTAGCGTGGACGAAGCCTTAATGCTGCCAAGGCACCAAAAATCCGAGGCTTCTGAAAGTCCAACGTAATGTGGCAGGAAAGGGTAGGGGTCAGTCTCTTGGCTGCTCGATGTTCAGTGATACGTTTGATTGACTTTGTGGCTCCAGATGGCAATTGTTTCTAACATGATTTCTCTTGCAGTGAGGGCCGAGGCAAGATGACGGTATTTTCAGTTAAAGCTATGTTAGCAACCATGTGTGGTGGGAAAATGCTGGACAAATTGAGATGTAAGTATTTTCATATTATTTGAAAATTTTAATTTTCCAATTAGGACTTGTAAGCAGTTTTAAGTGACCATTTTCAGAATTTTGGATGATGCTGTGTTAAACATTTTTGTTTACTGCCGCATCACTCACCTGACTGGGAGCCGTGTGAGTTATGCCACCTACTGTTCAGACAGAAAAGTTGGTTGAATTAGTTCGTTTAGTGTTTTTATTGGAAAGCTTTAAGTGTAAAGCAAGAAAATTGAAGAGATTCAGAGCAGTAATGTTGACATTTAAAAAATTATTTTTAAAATGGTGGCCATGTTACTAAAAATTGTGTTAACATAAAAATTGTGTAAACAGTTTTTAAGTTATGTTAGATGATTATGTTAGAAAATGAATTTGATTGCTTTGACCAGGTTTCGTCAGGGTTAGCCCTTTTCTTAACCCCTCGCTTCGTCATCAGGTGGTGTTTGCTGTGGTTAAACTGGTCTTTCGTGCCTTGGAGTCAAGCGCAGTTTAGCTAGAAGTCGACAGCATGTTTTTCCAGTTACGCTTCCAAGTGCTTTTCTTACTGTTTGGCCGTTTTGGCATTTTATTGTCGATTAGGTACTATGAAGAGGTGGCTGGATGAGAGCAGAGGAGGCGAAATTCACAATTATTTAATATTTTTGCTTTGATTTATATTCATTCACTCTTTAGATAGTTACTGTCTAAGACATGCCGAGCATTGTGCTAGGGCTTTACACATATTTCCTCACTGAACTTGTAAAATTTCTTTGAGCAGCAGGTAGTATTTTGTCCATTTTATAGACAAGCCAACCGAGGGGCGAAGCTGGGATTTCAACGCAGGCTGTCAGGCGTCTGAGCCCCGCCCCAGCTGCTTTGCTCTGTCTGCTGTGCGGTCCCGTACAGGGGCGGCGGCTGGGCCGCAGGTGCCTGCAGAGCAGGGAACCGGCAGGTTTCAGGGGGTGGGACGGAAGCCGTGGGTCTCGGTGAAGAGTGGAGACACCCTGTGAACTGATTCGCTGGAGAGACTGGGTCACCTGCCCTGTGGCATTTCTCATAGACTGGATTTTGGTCATCGGGTCCCCATGATGTTCCTTTGTGCCCTACGTGTCTTGTTTTCATTGAAAGATATAGAGACTTGTTTAAATTCAAGTATAAGCTTTTGGACAAGATTACTTTGTAGGTGCATTTGTTTTCTGTGTTTTTCTTTTCTTCCTTCTTTTGTTTGAATCCTCACCCTGGAACATGTTCTTTGATATTAGGGAGGGTGGGTGGGGGAAGGGAGAGGCAAAGAAAGAGAGAAACATTGATCTGTTGCCTCCCGTCTGCACCCTGACCAGGGATCGAACCTGCAACCTAGGTTTGCGCCCTGACTGGGAGTCAAACCTGCAACGTTTTGGTGTAGAAACGATGCTCCGGTCAACTGAGCCACCCAGCCAGGGCTGTGCTTTTTGTTCTTGTTCTTCTTTTCTTTTTTATTTCTTTGTGTGTGGGAGGGGGGTGCTTGCGTGTATGTGAGAGAGAGAGAGACTTTAAATTCTTTTTTAAAAAAATGGAATCTGCTTGTTCTTACATGTTACCATGACATCGAAAACTGGAAAGCTAGATGGCTCACTAGATACAGGTTTCAACGTTCTGCAGCGAGATCTTAGATAATGTGTTTGGTCAAACTGTTATCCGGTTTGCCTCCATTTCAGAATCAGCTGCAATGCCTAAGAGATTTTTGGTAGTGAAAATTATAGTTTTATTTAAATATCCTTCTGGGTTTTTTTCCACATGGTAATATTACTCTTTTGGGCTGAAATGTCTTCATATTTTAATTCTATCATGGTGTTTTTCTGAGGAAAGCAATGTGATATAGGTGCAATTTTATTTCATTCAAACAGGAGGAAAAGAAAGTAGAGATTCTGTTATTTAATGATGATGATACCAGATAAAGAATATATGACATTGGCCCTGGCTGGGTAGCTCAGTGGATTTAGTGCCAGCCTGCAAACCAAAGGGTTGCTGGTTTGGTTCCCAGTCAGGGCACATGCCTGGGTTGTGGGCCAGGTCCCAAGTAGGGGGTGTATATGAGAGGCAACCACACATTAATATTTCTCTCCCTCTCTCCCTTCCTTCTCCTCTGTCTAAAAATGAATAAAATCTTTAAAAAAGAAAAGAAAAAAAGAACATTTGACAGCGTACAGCGACATGTGTTTCAGGGTCAGGGTGGCAAAGGTGAAGGGAGGAGGTTGGTGGTCACGAAGTAGTCACGGGGATGGAAAGGACAGGCAGGGGTGTCCCACATGCGGTCCGGGACGCCTGTGAATGTGGACCAACACAAAACGTAAATTGACTTGAAACCTTTTTTTTTCGCTCGTCAGTTTTCGTTAGTGCTTGTGTATTGAATGTGTGGCTCAAGGCAACTCTTCTTCTTCCAGTGTGGCCCAGAGACGCCAAAAGGTGGGACACCCTGGTGGGGAACACTGTGTTGTAGCCAGGGACACTATAATACCCATGTATGTGCCGGGTGGGTACTAGATGTGGGGGGATCACTTTGTAAATTATATAAACTTCTAACCACTATACAGTGCACCCAAAACTAATATAAAATAATACTGAACGCCAACTGTAATTGAAAAAATGAAAATTAAAAAAATGGTTAAAAGTATATATACATTGCCATCTTAATTAGTACTAAATAAACTGGTTGGAAAAAATTGATTATGTAAATGCACATTTTAGATGGCTCTGGAATTGTTAAGTTTCTGCAATGAAATCTGCTACATCTACATAGAATGCATCCCTGGCACATAGTAAGTGCTAAGATTTTGCCAAATATAAATCGTCGACCAAGTTCTTAAATTACTGCAGTTGTCTGTTGTAACTGTGAGTGAAAAGGTACAAATTTTAGTACTATGTGAAATGTGGAGGGGATCCAAGTGACAGCAGTTTTTTTTTTTTTTATTGATGTGGCTTTTGAACTTCTTGGAGGCCCCACAAGTGACCAGGATTCAGGGCCATGAAGGCACACATGCCCAGGCACACGTGACCTGTCATGCAGAACGCCAGTCACCACACACTGCATGTGGGTCGATGAGTTACGGCCACTCTGAGCCACTTACTACCATGTTTGTATCATTCAGATAGATTTCAGATGTAGCTTCATTGTCTTCTTCATGTTTAAAGTCATTGCTTTGCCATCTGTCACTATTTCATTGTTTTTGTTATGCCATAAATAGCTTGAGAATGAGATGTTTAAAATAAGCAAAGTAGTCAGATATCGAAGCCTGTTTCCCCTTTTTAGTTTTAATCATCCAGGGCAGAAATCACTTTAAATGCGGTCTGTCCCTCTCACGTTAAACAGAGCTCACTGATCGTAGTTTAAACATGCTTCTGTGTCTTAGGGATGTCACTCTCATGCATTTAGGGCTAATCGTGAGGCCTGGGTGGTTTGTCTCACCTCACACTTTCAGACTGTTGTGCTACTTCAGTTCTTGAGTGTCTGTTGCTGTGGTTGTTGGTGGTGATGGTGTGTGCGTGTCCTTGATCACTGGAGGGTGTGATGGTATTATCGGTGCACTGGTCTCTGCAGATCTCTCTTTGCTTCTGCTTTACTCCTGACGGAGGAAGCACAACCGAACTTCTTGGTGTTCTGTTTCAAGTGAGGGGACAGCGATTGCTCAGACATCGTGGCAGAAGGCCTTTGAGCTTTTGCGGCCTGGTTGGCGGTTTTGCCTGTCGGCAGAATCCTTTCGCCGCTGGTTTCCCAGTTCTCTGCTGTGTGCAGCTCAGTCGAAGTAGCTGGATAATAGTGTAGTCAAAAGTGCTATCTAACTCTGCACTGTAAGATCAAACAGCATTTGACCATTTATTCGCTTTCTTTTACCTACTCACTCCATTGTCTCTGTTGTTCTTAGTTTCTCCATCTTCTTAGGCTGACGGTGCTCTCTGCTATTGGCTCTGTTAATGTTCCGTTTAAATTAGGTTTTCTAATGTATGGAAGATGCCCTAGTAGTTCTGCTCTTTTTACTCTTATTTTGATCTTTCCGCTTTTTACCTTTTACTTTTTGTTTTTTCCTATAATTTTGTCCCCTCTCTTTTTTGGTGTATACTTTTTGTTTTGCTTTAGTGTCAAGGTAGCCTTTGAAATGACTTAACAAATATTTCATTTAAAATGAAATATTTGTACTTTTAGTCTGAAACTTTTCTTAATTAGAGTTTTCAAATCTCTCGTAAGAGAGGTTCTGACCCAGGGATCATTTATTTACAGAAATAGCTCACTGTTGTGGCCATCAAGGCCTATATCCTAGATTCAAAGGTAACTCAGTTTAGGATTCTAAAGACAGTATCAAAGATTCATAATCAGAATGTAGACTTTAATTAGAAGCCTGGTCAAAACTCAGTAATGTCAGACATCCCCCAAATAACTCAGAGAACGATAACATTTACAGACTATGAAGCCCACTATTTATTACATTGTGCTTGTCAGTTTCAGTATGTGATTTATTTACTTTGTCTGATTATGCTGTTTGTTTTCTAAGAAACTTGAAAAACCCTTATTCAAGCCCCATCTGTTGTGCACCAAAAAATAGGAGCAGAGGAACGTATGCAATTTATTTTTAAATTTTTCAAAAACCTGGTGCTGCATTTCGGAGGGCCAATCTTGCAGTGAGCATCAGGAGGGCTGTGAGAATATTTACACGCATTGACTCATTCTGCTACTTCAGTTTATCCCAAGGAATTCACGAGAAGTGTGTATCCGATGCAAGACTTTTTGTAGTGTATGAAAACTCGAAAGGGCTGTAGTGTCCCACGGCAAGAGTCCAGTTAGGTTTTGGGGTACCCACATGTGTGCCTTTCAACTGTGTTTTAGGTCAAATGCATAAATGTAATACAGTTTTTTAAAAACAGATTTTATTTATTTATTTTTGATGGAGGGGAAGGGAGAAAGTGAGGAACAGAAACATCAGTGTGTGGTTGCCTGTCATGTGCCCCCTCCCTGACCTGGCAACCCAGGCATGTGTCCCAACCAGGAATTGAACCAATGACCCCTTGGTTCGCAGGCCAGTGCTCAGTCTACCAAGCCATACCAGGCAGGGCTGTAATACAGCTTTGAACAAAAACTTATGATGCACCTAGAAAAAGCATGAAATACACTAGAATGATAACAGGTATCTTATCTGGGTTATAGCATAAACATGGTTTTATAATAGTAATAGTTTATGTGATTGTAGTTATGTTTTCCCATATTTTTGATGGATGGCACTCTGAGTAGCCAAAGATAAGGTGACTTGAGGTTCTTTCTATTTTTACCCAGAACTGGCAGCTGTGGCATTTTAATTGTTTGCTTCCTGGATGTTTCATTAACAGACTATGGGAGGCCAGCCTTTGAAGTTATGAGTATAGTTTTTTTACCTGTTCAAAATCTGCCACTCTCTGCCCTGGCCTTTTGACCGCCTGCCACTGCGCATTTACCCTGGCTGCGTTACTCTGCCAGCCAGTCCTTTCCTTCATCAGACAGAAGTGACTTTGGTCGGAATGATGGCCGTGTGCACAGTTCTCATATAACCAAAGTGTCTTAGAACTGGAAGCGTATTAGTGATAAGTCCTGAATCTGCATTTTATGAACCAGAAAAAGAAAAGCAAGCGAACGCAAAGGGAGGCCTGGAGACTTGTCTGAGGGAGTTGGGGCGGGGTCAGCACTGAAAGCCCCCACCTGCTGAACTCTGCTCCACGGCCTCGCTCTGGCCCAGTGAATGGTGTCACGTGCTCGTGAGTTTGGGAACGACATGTGCACTTGGACTTAGTCACATACAGGCATTTATAAATATGCAAATGTGTGTACGTGCGTATTTGGTAGAAGGATGACAGGAGGTGAAAGTCATTTGCCAAGGAAAGCTACCATATAAAATAAAAGGCTTTCTATGTATAGACTTGCGTCTTTATCGGAAACAGCCCTGGCATCTTGCAGAAGTGTCTGTGCGTATGTTTGGTCATGTGGGGTGAAAGGGGAGTGGACAGGTGGACAGATGTTGCGAGTAAAGCCAGGGTCATGATCATCAGGGAAAAAAAGGAAACATACATGATACTGGTAGAATAATAAGTAGCATTATTTCGCCATTACACAGAGGACAGAATATTTTTTAAAGTATGTACACCTGTGCATTTAAGGGCTTGATCGTGGGTTTTTCATAAGGGAGAAAGTCTGTATTTTTATCTGAAACAACTAATGGGGAATCAGTGTACCTTTTTTCAGGGGAGTATAAATAGAAAGAGAATTACTGGTGAAATTAACCAGGATCTGGGATGTAATTTAGTCCCTAATGCCAGAAGGTTTTATGACTTTAATTAGAGGACAAGTTTAGCTTTTTGGATATTTTTGTTAAATTTTATTGTCTCTTCTTTAGTAAGGTCTTTTTAGCTGTACATAGTAAATCACACCAACTTAGATTCATTGTTATACTTCAATGAAGATGTAAAAAATTAGTAGTCATTTTTCTTAGAGAAAAACTAATCTAAAAATACTTTTTAAACCAGTAATTCAAGAAGTAATGACTTCCAAGTAATGACTTAACTACACCTTCAATTTTAGGTGTAGTGGTATTATTTCTCTTATGAAAACAAACCAAGTAACAAATGTGTTTCTGCTTGTTCTCTTGCTGTTGTAATATGGGCCTATTAAGTTATAATTTTTTCTTGAATTAAATTTTTTTACTACTTTGAATCTATATGATATATGTGTAAGTGCAAATAATACTTTATTGAGGGGGGTAGTTAGTCATTTCATTGTTTAGTCACTCTTATTACTCTGAATGAGTCAGGTTCTGATTTGTTGGTGAGGGTATACACATGTTTTTTTTTTATCGTGAAATTATACTATGTGTATTTATAGAATTGGTATCCAGAGTGTCTGGTCTTAAATATTGCTACCATTAGTGGCTACAAGTTAGTAATTTGCTGGTTTCTCAGTTTGGAATGCGTTGAGAAATTGGACTAACAGTGGCTTCAAACCACTGGGATTTATTTTTCTCATAAGGAATAAGTCCATGGGCCGGTAAGTTCAGAGTTAGTACCATGACTTAGGGACATCACCAGAGACTGGGGGCCTGCCTTCCTGCTCTGTCTGTGGGTGTCCTCCTTAGGTTCGTAAGTGATTGCTCTGTGCAGGGCCTCATGGACTTATTCCAAGTAGAAAGAAGAAAGAGAGGTCTTTTTCAGAAAAGCAAAAGCTTTTTTCAGAAATCCACTCCAGAGTTACAATGTGCAGAAGAGGCTGGTAAGTCATTTTTTAGGTGGATCGCGTTGCCCTTCTGATCACCGTCAGGGTGCAGCCGGGGAGCGGGAACTGGAAAGCAGATACTGAGTGAGCAGCAGGCACCTTGCAGCGTCAGCCGCATCCCCTGCCCACCCTTTGTTTCTGTCCAGATTTAGAGGGTGATTGTTGTCCTCATTATAAGAATAGAAGCCAGCTGTTTAGAAGTTGCGTTACGATGCTTCTCTTTCCTTCAGAGGATGCCCATTATTCACATAATTGGTAACATCTTCAAATCTCTGTATCTGTGGTCTCGAACTGTGGCCCAGTGCTCTCTTTCTAACTGCCTGCAGGGCCGTTCCACTTGGAAATTTGCTAATTAGTTATGTTCACAGTTTAGTATCTTAGTCTTCTGCTCGTTGATTTCACCCAGGGTGGTCAGCGTTTTCCCCAAGCTACAAATCTAGAAGAACTCTAACTTCTTAGATTCCTTTATTCTCGGATCCAGCTTGCTGTCTATTGCAGGTTGCTGCGTTGAAGCGCATGAGAGTTGACCCCTCTCCCCAAAACTGTCCCTAATGCGGCCCTGATCCCTCCTCTTTCATTCATTCTGCCGGTCACTAAGACTCATTTTCTTGAAACCTAGCTCTATAAATATGTCTCCCCTACTTAAGAGTTTTTAAACCAAGTTCAAATTGCTTTCCTCTTTCAGAGTTTTCATTCATAGCTTATTTAATCTTTAGGTACATTTATTTCTCAATGTAAATAGTTGTTCATAGAATGTTCTCTTCAGTGCACTGTTTCTTGCTTATCATCAATACACTATAAATTCTTGTCATCGAGACTGTCATCCTTCTCTTCTCTAGTCACGTCCCCAAGCCCTCAGTCTGAGGCTGTTTTCACCTTCTCATTCCAAATCCTGTCTTTCAAGGCGCAGCTTCTGAATTCCTTCCTTGACAGTTCCTGCCCGTATGCTTTGGTGTCTGTTCTACACTGTGGTTGGAAGAGGTTTGATGCAGTGGAGTTTCTTTAGAGTCAGGTAACTGTGGGCTTCAATCTTGATGTAGCCACTGACTAACTGTTTGACCTTAAGTTAATCTTTCTAAACTAGTTTTCTTATCTGTAATTTTTTTCTATTTTTAGAAAAGATTTTATTTATTTATTTCACAGGGACAGGAAGGGAGGGAGAAAGAAAGGGAGAGAGAAACATCGATGCATGACAGATACACCAGGAGCCTCTCACACACCCCAGCCAGGGACCTGGCTGCAATTCAGCTACGTGCCATGACCGGGAACCAAACTGGCAACACTTTGGTCCACAGGCTGGTGCTCAATCCACTGAGCCACACCAGCCAGGGCTCTTATCTATAAATTTTAAATAATCATGTGCATACACACCTACATGTACACACATACATACCTCTTTGTGAAAGTAAAATGAGATCATGTTTAGTATTAAGGATTGTTGCATGAAAACAAAAACTTAGGGTAATAGTGTCTTAAACAAAGCTGAAGTATATTTTTTTCTTGTGTGAAAGATGTGCAGGAGTAGGCAGTCCAGGGCTGGTCTGGTAGGCGGCTTCATGCTCTTCTGGGACCAGGCTTCCCCTGTCTTTTCTTTTGTTCTAGTGCATGGTTTCTACATCAACACTGGGATTACCATGTATTCCAAGGTGGCTGCTGGAGCTCTAGCCATTATCACTGCATTCCAGGTAGCAAAAGAAGGAAGGAAAAAATGGTCTACTTTGTACCTTAGTCAGCTTGCCTTAACCAGTCTTCCTGGAAGTGTCTCACAACCCTTCTGTTCATAGTCTCTTTAGCAGGTCTCTTGAGACTTTGAATAGAGTGTCATACAGCAAGAGTTAAATTCAGTGAGTTTTGGGTTTCTTTTTCAAATGGACTTTTTCTATATGGTTTGTTTTCCTACATTTTCAAAAAAGATTTTATTTATTTATTTTTAGACAAAGGGACAAAGAGGGAGAGAAACATTGATCAGTTGCCTCTTGTGCATCTCCAACTGGGGACCTGGTCCACAACCCAGGTGTGTGCCCTGACCAGGAGTCGAACTGGCGACCTTCTGGTTTGCAGGCCAGCACACGCACCAAGCCACAGCAGCCAGGGCAACTGTTCTCTTTTTAAAAAAGGACTTTTGTCAGTTAGCAGTGCCAATGCCAACCGTGCACTTGCTGTGGGAGAGGTTCCCCACCCCGGCCCCTCTCAGTTCCTGCTCATGAGCTGAAAATGGGCCCCAACATGTTCAGTCCTGTCCCTGGCCTGTGGCGGGGCTGAACGCTGCTGGGCACCAAGTGCGAGTGGAAATTCGATTTGATGTTTAGGATGAATTTTAGGTGAGTGGGAGAGAGGGGCCTCATCAACCAAGTAACCACACAGTGTTAATAAAGAGTAAGAATTCATGTCAACTAAAAATTGGAATAACTTTATGATGCTTTTCAGTGATACTTTTTGACTGGTATACTAATGACTTAGAGCCATTTATACAAAGTTGATACTTCTTTACAACTTGACTTTATTTGGTTTTGTTCTCATAGATGTTTTCTCCCAGATGTCAGATTCCAATGGCTTCATGATATTTGGCAAGTTTGACCAGTTTCTGAAGGAAGTGCTGAAGCTCCCAACAGCCGTCTTCGAGGGGCCGTCTTTCGGTTACACTGAGCACTCAGCCCGCGCCTGCTTTCCCCAGCAGGTGAGGCCGGTGTCACGGAGCCGGGCCCAGAGGGCGCTCGCGCCACCCCCCCCAGCCTTTGTCAGGTCTCCCCAGGTCGCCTTGGTCTAGGGGTGTAGGTCCTGAGTCCAGGAGGAAGCAGGGGTTAAAGTCAGGGGTGGGGAGTTTGGGGGAGTGGAAAAGGGGGCATTCAAATTCACCCGAGAACTTCTTTGAGTTGTGGGGGGGGTATTTTCTGAAAAAGTAACATTTGAAATATTTTAAATTACTAAACATTTAAAGAAAAATGGTCACGTTGAAGTGTCTACAGTATTGCTACTAAACATGTATTACTCTTTCTAATGAGTTCTGTGAACCATGGAACCCAGAGTTTGGGTATAAAACTCCCTGTAGCACTGGGTCGCTGTGTCCTGAGCAATGGAGACGAGCTCCACACCAGGGCACACCCCCCCCCCCCCCCTCCCCGCCGCCCCAGCCAGCGCAGGAGCACATGCTGCTGATTTCATACAGATGAGAGATTTGGTTTCCGCTGGGTTTGTGGGGGTCCTTCTACAGCCCTTCCCTAGAGGCTGAGGGAGTCTATCCCTAAGACGTCAACTATGCCTCAAAGGACTCAGGGCAGAATGAGTGCTGGCTATAGCGCCCAGTTTTTTTAGGAAAAGATGAGATAAAAGGAGCTTCCTGCTGTTTGGAAAGTTCTGGAAAGCAGGGAATGAAGAAAAAAACTGTTAACTAACAGTTAACTAACTGTAAACTGTTAACTGTTAACTAAACTGTTAACTAACAGTTAACTAACTGTTAACTAAAACTGTTAACTGTGAAAGATTAAGGGAATAAGACTGATGACATAGTTTGAAAGTATCTCCCCACAAAATATTTATTACAAAGGAAACAGTAACTCCACGGTGGAGAAACCTGTCAAATGCCACTGTCACCGGGTGACCAAATGCCAGTCACCAGCCAGAGGAGCAGGCTGACACCGCCGCCTCCCAGGAGGGCTCACTGAGGGAGGGCCCCGCCAGCGCCACTGCTGCTCCTGCCTGGCTGCCCCCCCCCCCGCCCTTTTCCTCTTCCTGAGGGCGGGGTTTCTGCAACGTGCAACATCAATGTCAGAAAGACCAAGAAAGACTAAGGGACTCTTCCCAAGCACTGGGGTCCTCAGAGATGGGAAGCCTGAACGCAACCCATGATCCAGGCTTTTCTCCTGTTATGAAAGATGTTATGGGGATATCCAAGAAAAATCTGAAGAAAGCTTGTAGACTAGATAATGGTATTCTGTCCACAAGTGTTAATATCCTGATTTTCATATTTGTGGTAAGAGAATGTCCTGATTTTTGAGAAATATGATACGAAATATTTAAGGGTGAAGGGGCATCTGTGTGGCTGTGTTAACATTTGAGGAGCCTGGGATAATGGTGAGTAGAATTTTAAAAATAGTCTCTTATAACCTTTCTGTAAGTCTGAAGTTATTTGAACATGAAAGTTAAAATATAAAATGAACGAACTCTCCTGATACTTTGATTCACAAAAGAAGCAAAAACATACACATACCCCCTTTTACATTTAAAGTTAAGAATCCATATTTATCTGAATTCAGACTTTCAAACAATATTTTATAATTTGTTTAGAGTGTCTCAACCACAGTACTGAAGGTGGGCACCTATAAATACTGGGGAGTTATTTTTAGTAGCTTCTGAGAAGTTCTTCCCAAATGTGGACACGTGCCGGCTGATTGTTTTGTGAAAATTAGCCTGTATACATTATTTATTTTTTTCTCTCAGCATAAATAGCAGTATCAGCTTTTAGCATGTTAAAAATATCTCTGTGCTTCAGTTTATTCTGATAAAGCCCAGTTGGCATTCTTCACTCTGAATATGCGTTTTCACATGACCCGGGGCCGTCCAAACACACCCTGGTCCTGAGCGCCCTGCAGGCATTGAAGTGCCCGGCAGAGCGACGGCGGCGGAGGAAGAGGGCGGGGGAGACACCGCCGCGGTGCTGTGGGCGGATCTCGCATCCGAGGCACACGCAGCTCTTTTCCTTGCGGCTTCCCCTTGGTCAGGCAGGAAGCTGATCGAGTTCTGCGATGCTGCTGTCGAGGAAAGTGGGCTCGAGCGGGGGAAGAGAATTTACACGGAGAAGTGTCGCTGAGGGACGCCATTTGCCCAAGGGGCCATAGTTCTGTGGAGCACTCGCTAAAGCCATCTTTGATTTACTTGTAATGTGCATCCAATAAGGAGAGTCCAGTACTGGAATAACAGTTTAAAATGGTGAAGAATATCTTAAAAATTCTAATTGTAATCTAAGAACGCTGTCTGGGATTCTCTGAATTACTTTATGCCACGATTATCAGGCCTTCGAACTCACAACCTAATTGCTGCTTTTTCATTCGCTTCAGATTTCTATATAAAACTCAGTCGGTGGTTTTAAACACGTCAAATGTGGAAAAGGCAAAGAGGCACAGGAATGTTGAATTTCCTAGGTCTGAAAGATGACAAAAAGGTGCCTCCAAAGGGTAAAAACCACTGAAAGAGTGACCAAAAAACACGAGACTTGGGACAGAGTGTCATACAGCAAGAGTTACATTCAATGAGTTTTGGGTTTCTTTTTCAAATGGACTTTTTCTATATGGTTTGTTTTCCTACATTTTTTAAAGAGATTTTATTTATTTTTCAACAAAGGGGAAGAGAGGGAGAGGAACATTAATTAGTTGCCTCTTGCGCGCCTCCAACTGGGGACCTGGTTGGTCCACAACCCAGGTGTGTGCCCTGACTGGGAGTCGAACTGGCGACCTTCTGGTTTGCAGGCCAGCACATGCACCAAGCCACAGCAGCCAGGGCAATTGTTCTCTTTTTTAAAAAGGATTTTTGTCAGTTAGCAGTGCCAATGCCAACCGTGCACTTGCTGTGGGAGAGGTTCCCCACCCCGGCCCCTCTCAGTTCCTGCTCATGAGCTGAAAATGGGCCCCAACGTGTTCAGTCCTGTCCCTGGCCTGTGGCGGGGCTGAACGCTGCCGGGCATGGCGTGTGTGGGGGGCTGGGGGCCCAGGTCGTCCTCTGGGGTGCCGTGGTGGCACTCCCACTCCACCCCCTGGCCCAAAGCCTTGTGCTCATGAGTCTTCAGGGAAAGCAGGAAAATTCTTTACCAACAAAACCGAGGACCCTGGTCTCCTAGTCTCTGTACTTGGTTGCCTAATGGCCCCTCTCAGATACTGCTTTTGTCTTATTATTCCTTTTAATCATAAGCAAGTTCGAGCTGGCATTTTAAATACAGCTCTGCCGATGCCCCCGTTTTGCTTAAAAACACACGACTAGCTTCTGTTTCCTAGTGGATGAGCTTTTCATCGTGGCACCAGGGTGTTCCTCAGTCTAGCTCCAGCCTCGCCGTCCACCTGGGCTCCATGGCGCTCCTCAGACCCCCTCCACCAGCCTGCTGGGGGTCTTTCTGGAGGTTGCCGAACTGCCGCAGGAGCTGGGGTGTGCCCTTGCACCCGCCCGTGGGCTGTGCGTAAGGGCATCTGTTCCCCCGTCCCTGCCGGCAGCATGTGTTCTTACACTTACGACTTGGCCGATCTGATAAGATGAGAACGTTGCCTCAGTGTGGTTTTGATTCGCGTGTCTCTCGTGGTGGGTAATGTGCATTTGGAGTGAGCGAAAGTAGCAGAGTTCTTGTTGTTTATGCTGTGAGCTCTCACCAAGACGCCAACAACCCCGACCCCTCTTCCCCAACAATGGCCTCGGGTGTCAGGTCCCCTAAAACATCCCCCCTTCTTTGACGCTCCGAGTGTTTCAGTGCAGGATGATCGCTGCTCCTCTGCAGCCCCGTGACACGTCACAGCGAGCTCACTGCCCCGAGGGTGCCCCTCAGTCTCCTTCAGCCTTCTGTCCCCTTGACAACAGGCCAGCAGAATGATCAGTGCTCACTGGGCGTGTGCTGGGTTGGGTGCTGGTTTTAAGTCAGAGGCACGAGACAGGGTCTCCGGCTTGACTGCTGAGAGAAAGCTCGAAGCTCACGGAGGCCCTCACAGCTCGGTTTTCCTTGATGTTATTCCATGATTTTCTCTGGTGAAATAATTTTTGTAGTAAGGAATATAAAGTTTTTCCAATTTTTCTTTTGGCTATAATAAATAAAAATACCTCTGATAAAAAGCACGGCAACATTATATTGTATAATACAAAATAATTTTCAAAGTCCAAAATAAACCTGTGATATGGACAAATTCGGTGTCTAATAATCAAAAGGCTGATCCATAGCACTAGTCCCATAACCAGTTTTTTTATAACCAGTATGTTTGCCTTTGTCAGGTTAAATAGTGTTATAATTCTACACAGAAGTTTATATAAAGCCATTTTAATCGGAAAGTTTTAAAAAATATGTTAACCAAATGTCATACTTACAGCTGATTACCAAGCAGAAGGTCAGTGGACAAGAACGACTTACCTGTCGCCCATAAGGGTATAAGTTTTTAATGAAAATGGTGAGGTAGGGAATTGCATCTGTGATGATCTAACGCTGAATTATTGTGCTTGTTTTCTCATGTAATTCTGCATTTCTCATTTTTAAGAGATGGTTCCACTTCCTTTTTTAAACAGGAGAGATGTAGCCACGGGCGAAGGGAGGGAGATGAAAACGGCATTCAGGGCAATAAATTGTCGATACTGAGGACTAGAATGACAGGGGCGGGAGTTAGGTGGCAGACGGAAACATCCCTCTTTAAGACGAGCGGGTGTGCATTCCGAGCTGGAAACAGCCTCCGCACGCGGTCAAGGAAGTGCGTGCACAGATCGTGGTGTCTGCCGAGCGAGCAGGTCAGCTGTTACAGTGATTAGAAATGAAGATCTTGTAGCCCCACAGCAAAATGTTTAATGAAATGTTCAGTGAAAAGACAGATCATGTGTTTTTTACTACTCTGTGCACATAATTACATAGAAACATTTATACATTTGGAGGGAGACCTAGAAAAATGAGAATCGTGGGGGGCAAATTTGCATTACTTGCAGTTTTATTGTAGTGTGTGTTATAAATATTATTGTTCTATAAAAAATAAGGAGATCTGCAAAGGATGTATTCAACTCAAGAGGAAAAATAAAATATAGAAAAATGGGAGAAAAAAGAACCAGCCTTTCACGTAGTAACATAGTAAGTCACAGTTTTTAAGCTGGAATTCTACCCCATAAAGTTCTCAAGTTTTTTATCACAGGACTTCATTAAAATAAAAAGTATTGAGGACCCCAAAGAGCTATTGTGTGTGTAGGTTATATCTATCAATATCTCCACATTATAAACTAAAATGGAGAAATTAAAGAGTATTTTAAGTCATTGAAAATAACAATGATAAACCTATTGCATATTAAGTAATATGTTTAAATGAAAAAAATAGCTGTTCCAAAATAAAAAATTTAATGAGCATGCCATTGTTTTATATTTTTGCAAATCTTGGGGTTTGCATAGTTGAAGACAGCTGGTGTCTCTTAGTTGCTTATCCATTCAGTCTGTTGCGCTGTGATTTGGTTAAAGTATAGGAAGGAAATCTGGGCTCAGGCTCTCATGTCGCCGGAAGGAGGAGGAGTGTTTTCCTAGCTTTTAGAGGTAATTGTGGATATACCAGATTGCCTCTGGAACTCCCCACTGTACACTCAGAGGAGAATGATACTGATACAAGCAATCATGTCTTAGTATTATTATGAAAATAGTCTGGCTTCGTGAACTTTCTAAAAATGTTTTAGGGACCTCCCAGGGGTACTCCTGACTATGTTCTTGAGAACCACTGCCCTTGAGAAATGAGGAAGCTGAAACCAGAATGTTAACTGATTTTCCCCCCAAATCACATGTTAATGGAAGACAGAAATTAGGGCACAGTTCCGGTGTCATTTCTCACGCTTTCAGGGACTTCACATGACAGTGTGACCTTAGGACAGCTTTTGTATTTACGAGGACCTTCTGAGATAGTAAATATGACGGTTCCTTTTTGTCTTGAACATTAAAAATAAGTTAAATTCCAAGATTGGTGAACCAAAACTTTCTTTTTAATCCTTACCTGAGGACATGAGTATTGATTTTAGAGGAAAGGGGAAGGGAGGGAGAAAAAGAGGGAGAGAAACATCAGTGTATGGTTGACTCTCACACGCCCCCTACTGGGGACCTGGCCCGCAACCCAGGCATGTGCCCTGACTGGGAGTTGAAATGATGACCTCACAGGTTGGCACCCAATTCGCTGAGCCACACCAGCCAGTGCTACCAGTTTCTTCTTTTAAAGACTATTTTCAATAAGAATGACTTCTGATTTGCATATAATGGAATCAGGATTCTCACGGATTGCCAAAAAGATCCCCGGACTGCAGTCTGTGTGGTCCTGCGTCTGTGTGCTGGGACCGACGTTGGAAGGTATTTCGGTGGGTCGGGGAAGCTCCCGCATGTGCACGTCCATCCGGCCAGACGCCAGGCCGCCTGCACTCCTGGTTTCCACGCGCTGTCGAATGTGTTAGTGGTGAAAGCCAAAGTTGCTTTGAATGGGCTGGCAAAATATTGTCAGCTCTCACCAATTTGGATTTTCTACCCTTTTTTTCTGAAGTGTTTTAAAGTTTTATGGGGAAGCCCTGTAATTTTTATACCCTGTTTTTCCTGTTAAATAAAGTGGTGGGACCAGGAACGCAGGGCTTGGGAGAGGGGGATGACACTCTGGGTGCCTTGCGGCCTCACCTGCCCGAGGCTCAGTGTGTGTGTCCCCCGGGCCCCAGCCTTTGAATGGGGGGGCCAGGCCTGGGCAGAGGCCTGCTCACTGGGCTGTGCATCTCTTACTCTCCCGTGTTGGCCCCTTTGCCTTCGCCCTCCTTTTGGAACAAAGTTTGAAGTGGGGACCTAGGCGTGCAGGTTACAGTGACAGGACTCTGACGTCCAGTTCTGTGGCACTGCCTTTTCCTCCTTGTTCCTTTCTTTTTGGAGCTAGAAAGGTGTTTTGCGGGTTAGAGAAAATCATGAGGAAATTCATTGATTCAAAATATTGTTGAAAATGTGTTCTATCTACATCACTTGACTATTTTTATTCCAGACTGTTTTCTAAGTTTCTAGGTCCACATGGGACGTAATTTTATCAGCGTCTCCCATACAGTGGAAGCTTGCTGTACATTGGTTTAAAAGAGAGAGATAGTGATAGGACAGAAAAATGCAGTCCAGCCAGGGAGATGGTATAATGGAGGCGTCCTGTGATGGGCATCCTTCTTACAACCGTCTCTGTGATGTCGTCAGACAGCTCCTGCTCTGGGCTTCAGTTCTCTCTTCTGTAAACCAGAAGGTTGTTCAGTGGTGTCTGAGAGTGTTGGCCCCTCACGTTGTTCTTTCAGCGATCGCTTGCTCAATGCCTGTTGAGTGCCCCCACTGTCCCGAATGCTGGCAGTGTGAAGAAGTATCGTGTGAACAGGGCGGTGGCGGGTGGTCCCCGCTGTGGAGCAGGAGTGGGAATTTCAAGGGTGTCCGAGTTCTAGTCCTGCTCCGTCTCTGATTTTGGCAGGACCTTTACAAGTTGTTTAAATGCTCTGTTCTTTTATTTTCTCATCTGTGAAACAAAGATAGTAATACCTAACTTATTTACCTTATGTGGTTGTTTTAAGACTCAGATAAAGTAGTGTACGTGGAAATGCATTTGAATATAGGAATGGTGTAGAGTATAGTGTGTGGCAGTGTCTGTAGTAATGTAAAATATTTCATTTTGCTGTAAAATTCCATGTGTAATTTATCATGACTTGGTTGTGTGAGTCCTAAGTAAACTTAATCTTGGAGTTCAGCGGTACTTGAAAAATATGAAGTGTGTATTTTTTTTTCTTTTCTTCACAGAAAAAGATAATGCTGAACATGTTCTTAGACACCATGATGGCCGACCCCCCGCCCCAGTGCCTCGTCTGGCTGCCTCTCGTGCACAGACTTGCCCATGTGGAGAACGGTAGGCAGAGCCCACCCCCCAGCTCCTCGAGCTGTAGGACGTGTGGGAACTGAGGCTGTTCCTCTTGTCCTTAGCTCTTGTGATTGAAATTACAGTTGACAGCTGCTGGCATTTTATCATTTGAATTTGGGACTTTTGATGTTAAGGGAAGAAAGAGTATGTCTCAAAAAAAGAAGGGGTGGGGGTCTTATTACTTAGGGAGGCTGCCAAGAAGCAGGAAGAGCAGGCCCTAAACCCTGGCTCCAGCGCAAGGCTTCTCGACCCAGGTCACAGGTGCTGGTTTTGGGCCAGCCGCTGCCTGATTTGGCCATGGCTGCTTTGTCCCTTTGATCCATAAAAATCATAGGTCTAAAAAAAGGGATATATTCAGTGTCAGCCACGGAAACTATAACCGATTTTGAGTTGTTTGAAGGAAAGTGGCTAAGAAAGAACGTCACCCATCTTCAGTGTTTTCTTTTACTGTTTTACCTCGGAGCACTCTCAGTGTCCTTCCCGGTCATTCGGTTTCAATCTTTGTTTCACTGGGAATTGAAATGGCACTTCTCTCTTGGTGACTCGTTAGTTTTTATCTGCTGTTGCCATCGCTTTATCTCCTTACGTAGGTTGTTTATGAAGGGGAAGGCTGCGGTTTGCGCTGTAGCCTGACCTCCCGCGAGGCGCTCGCCCATCCCTCCTCCGTTCTAACCAGAGCATTCGTGAGGGGAGCAGAGTCGTCCTTCTCCTCTGTGAGAAGGGAGCACACTTCTCTACATTTTTATTTTCTCCCGCTCTTAGCCACACTGTTTTTAGTTTTAAACTGGCTTTGGCACACAAGTACCTTAGATCCAGTATTATTTCCTTAAAGGTTCAGTATCTTTTGACTAGAGTGAAACAACTAAAATTTTTAATAAGATTTTTGGATAGAGATTTCTACTGTTAAATTACTACAGTATTATTGGTTGTTTTGGAGGCACTACTTTTTTTTTTTTTTACATTTTTTTATTTATCTTTAGAAGGGAAGAGGGAGAGAAATACCAATGTATGGTTGCCTCTCATGCGTGCCCTGCTGGGAACTGGCCCCTGCTGGGAACTGGCCTGCAACCCAGGCATGTGCCCTGACTGGGAATCGAACCGTGATCTTTTGGTTCACAGGCCTGTGCTCAATCCACTGAGCCACACCAGCCAGGGCTGGAGGCACTACTTTTAAAGCCTTAAATGTTTCCGTAGCTTTATAGACAATTCCTTTTCATAAAATAATTTTGTATCTGCTATACCCAGTAGAAAGAATCTCATTTTTCTTGATGTATTATTATTCCTATGAACATTTTATTATGAACTTGTATTATTTACTGATTATATTCTTATGTGGTTATTGATATTTCTCTTAGAGACAGAAATATTATGAACTTATTGGAATACCTAGAAAATAAAACATTACCTACCACACTAACATTTATCTACATATCTTAATATTTATGATGGGCAACAAATTAAATTATGGTGATTTTAGAGTATTTTATTATTTGGGCCCTTCTTAGGAAATTCATCACTCAAATTGTACTAAAGTTACTATTTATAAGGACAAATATTTATTTGCTTAAGCAAAAGTTGCATTTTTTAATACTGGTTTACTAACTCGAGTGTATAAAGTATATCAGAAGTTAACTACCTCATGATGTGTTCTTCCAAAAAGAAACTTTCCCCAAACCTGATCCTGTGTATCACTGACCCGGCACACTTGTTGACTCTTTCCTCCCCGGTTCTCCGCGTTTTCTGCCTGGTCACCCGTTCCACTGACTAAATGTAAGCGCTGACTGTCTCTAGACCAGTTATAAGAGAGGAGAAATCACATAGACATACATGTTCCACCAAAACGATCAGAATGTATTTGAGGATTTAATATTGACCCTGAATTATCCCACAGGATTATCTGTATCGGTGCGCTTCGTCGCACGCACCGATTTGGATTGATTTGGGAGTGTGTTTTCCGGCAGAACTCTGCCAAGTGGTGTAGTTTTAATTTGGAACACAGACTCAGCATTTTTATGATTCTTTAGAAAATTTTTTATGGTAAAAGCTTGAATTTCTTAGAGGAAGAATGTCCTTTGGCTTTCTCGTTTGTGTTTTACTTTTGTTTTTGTCTTTCTTACCTTGTTATATTGTTTTCCTCATCTAGTGCTCAATTTTTTTTTTGACTCTTGATTTCCTAGTTAATATACATTTCTGGAAGTAGGACTAAAAATTCTTAAAATTGAGATAAGAGTACTTTGTATATAAAGTGCTAGAAAGGGTCATTGAGATTGAAGATGTGAATCCTATGAGGGGGACCCCCCAAAAATGGAATTTACTTATAAAAATTGTGTATTTATCTTAGATGTTTGAACCTCAGTCACCTTCAAAGTGCCCTCCATTTGATCCAATACGTCCATCAAGACGTTCTTTCTGCTGCTCAGAACAGTTTTTGAACATGTTGATTTTAATGCCTTTTAGTGCTTCAGTTTTTTTGTTTCACCTCTTCTGCATCGACAAAACGTTTCCCTTTGAGGACTTTTTTCATCCAGGGAAACAAACAAAAAAAGTCACTGGGGTGAGATTGGGTGACTAGGGAGGGTGGAGCACAGGGTTCATGCAGATTTTGGTCAAAAACTGCTGAACGCTCAGCATGATGTGGGCTGGTGCACTTGTAAATCACCCATCATGAAATGGGCAAATGCATTGAAAGTGTCTTCAAAAAAAAATTCACTGAAGCTGAACACAGCCTCTCACAACAACACCAGCTGGTACACTGACACAGATGGGTTCCTAGAGCACTCAGCTGGTGGGAGAAGTCTGTACTATAAGGGGCCTGCCCTCCAGAAGATAATTCCATTTTGGGGGGGTCCCCCCTCATATGTCCATATTTCCTGCTGACTTTCATTTCTTCTATTCAGAATTTAATTGCCACAGGGAATAATTATACTACCAACATTTAAAAATATCAATAATAGCCGTGGCTGGTGTAGCTCAGTGGATTGAGTGTGGGCCTGCAAACCAGAGTATCGCGGTTCGATTCTCAGGGCACATGCCTGGGTTGCAGGTCAGTTCCCAGCAGGGGACACATGAGAGGCAACCATACATTGATGTTTCTCTCCCTCTCTCCTTCTCTTCCCCTCTAAAGATAAATAAATAAAATCTTTAAAAATAATAATAATAAAATTAAATTAAAAATATCAATAATAGTCTATAATATACAACTGTGAACTAGACTTCCCATTCAGTGAACTAGACTCTCTGGCTCTAAGAGAATCCCAGTAAAATGATATATTTTTTTTTCTTTTTTTTTTTTAAGATTTTATGTATTTATTTTTAGAGAGAGGAAGGGAGGGAGAGAGTGGGGGTGGGATAAACATCAGTGTGTGGTTGCCTCTCATGCGTCCCCTACTGGGGACCTGGCCCGCAACTCAGCCATGTGCCCTGACTAGGAATCAAACCAGCAACCCTTTGGTTTGTGGGCTGGCACTCAGTCCACTGAGCTATACCAGCCAGAGCCCAGTAAAATCTTTATGAATCCTTATTGCCATCTCACAGTTTTTCATAAGGTACAAAGCCCAATGTGGTGGAGAAAAGAGCCTCAGACCATGGAGTTTCCCTTCCTCCAAATTCCCATCCCTTCCTTCGTTACAGTACTTTATTTTTATGCTGCTACTTAGAGCTCTCGGCCCAAACTGCTATTTTAATATGTCTTGTCTTACTTTTTACCAGTTACCTTTCGAGCCCAGACGTGTGGTCGTATTCAATTCAGGAAGCATTTGCAGGTCCTCATTCCAGGGTGCTGTGTAAAATACTGTTTTCAGTAACAGTGATACATGGTACCTCGTCCTGGGGCTCACAGATTTTATGTTAATGAAGGAAACAAACTCACACATGCACACCTCACCATGATACAGAGTAGATCTTTAAAAAGCAGTAGGTTTGGAAAAGGAATTTTGGGGTGAGGGCTTTTCTTTCCTCCTTATTTGTATCCTCATCTAAATTTTGAGAAACATGAATTTCATTTTAAAGAAAGAAACTGGCAGGAGGAGGATTGGAGGGGAAACCGATTCTGGCTGTGTTTGCAAGGGTGTGACTCAGGAAAGGGAAAGTACCCTTTCTCCCTGCTGTCTCAGTGCTCTGCTTCCCCCGCCCCCTCCAAGTCCTGTGCTCTTCCCAGGGGGCTGGAGGGAAAAGGGCTACACACGTTGGTTAGCAGGGCTGGAGAGGGTGTGCCAGAGAGGCTGGGCCGGGCAGGCACCTCTGAGCTCTGGCTGTGGGCAGTGGCCACTGGGAGCCATGGAATGTTAAAGAGGCTGTGGAAACAGTCACTGCTTTTGCAAGCAGGGGAAAGTAGGGATGATGGGAGCCCAGGGCAAAGCAGCAGCACTAAGCTGTGAGCAGACAGATTCACTTCCGAAATCCAGTCCAGTTGCTTTGAAACAAACTATGGGGGGGGGGGGGGGGAATTGGCTATTTTCTGAGGTGTTTGAAAAAACTTTTTTCTTATTGTCTTTCTTTTTTATTCTAACAAATGGCTGGTTAAATGAACTAACTAGGAGATAACTTGGAATCATCAGTTCTAATTTTGTTTTCACCCTTGCTTTTTTGTATTAGTTTGTTTCCACTGCACTGACTTCATTCTCCAAGTGAAAATGATTTTCTCTCCTTCTTTTCCCATTTCCCCCGCCGCCGCTGCCCGCCCGGTTTCCTCTGCCTCCTCCAAGTCTTCCACCCCGTGGAGTGCTCCTACTGCCGCTGCGAGAGCATGATGGGCTTCCGGTACCGCTGCCAGCAGTGCCACAACTACCAGCTCTGCCAAAGCTGCTTTTGGCGTGGCCACGCCAGTGGTTCTCACAGCAACCAGCACCAGATGAAGGAGCATTCCTCCTGGGTAACCGCTCTGTGTTTCCGTCTGTGTCCCCAACTGGTCCTCTGTGTCCTTGGTGTCAGCGTGGGGCCGACTTCCGGCCAGACGCCCGCGAATGAGGATGTTGTGCAGTGAGACCGTAATACGGACCTTTAGGGCTGGGGTTGCAAGGATGTTCTGCTTCATCGCTTGATTTTGAAAGCAGATTTTTCATTTATTTTTTCATTTATGTATCTTTTAAAGATTTTACTTATTTTTAGAGGGGCAAGGGAGGGAGAAAGAGAGAGAAACATTAATATGTGGTTGCCTCTCATGCATCCCCAACTGGGGACCTGGCCCACAACCCAGGCATGTGCCCTGACTGGGAATTGAACTGATGACCCTTTGGTTCACAGGCTGGCACTCAGTCCCCTGAGCCACACCAGCCAGGGCAGAGAGCACAATTTCTGAAGTTCTGGGCGATGCAGACACCATTACGCTTGTAGTGGGTCCCTTTTGTTCAGTGAAGTACAATGCTGCAATGCCCCCTTTCCAAAGTAAAAAGCTAGTTTTTTCTTATTGTAAAATTGTACGAGATACCTTCTAAATGCTTACCCTATCATCTTTCAGTAAGAGTTAAAGTTCTTTTTTTCCAAACACATTTTCTTAATGTGTATAAGCTTTACATTTTTTAACTGATTGTTAGAGGGGAAGGGGGAGGAGAGAGAGCACGTGCTGGATGTGTTGTTTCACTTATCTGTGCACTCATTGGTTGATTCTTGTATGTGCCCTGACGGGAAGTTGAACCTGCAGCCTTCTTGTGGGGATGATGCTCTAACCGACTGAACTTCCTGGCTAGGGCTGTTCATAGGGTTTACCTGTTGTAAGGAAAGCCGTGTGAAATAAAGAAGTTTTTGCTTCTAAGTTGGGGAAAACACTGTGTCTTACAGTTGCCACATTAGGGGCAATTACTTACTTTCAAAAGTGGTCTTTTAAAAAGAACAGTGTTTAGATGCAGGTTGATGTCTGCTATTTGTGTGATGTTTATAAATCATGTAACAAGTTAAGTATCAGGAATTTTTCTTCCCTTCTTATAGTTTATTTCCAGTTTTTAAAATGCTATACTTTTATTTCCAGAATGTTGTGTAGCTTCGTTTTAGAATCCATTTCTCTAATTTTCATGGTTGGTTGGTTGGTTTGCTAAAGGGTGGAAAACTATGTAGAGGTATTAGCATAATTCAGGATTTAGGTTGTGAAGCCTGGCCATTCTGCTGGACTTCCAGCATTAAGTCCCCAAAAATTATTTTCTAGTTAGCCTTCTTCAAAGTCAACCAAGAAAAAACAAGTAAGTGTATATCAGGAACTAGTTTTTGTGGGGGTTTTTTTAAAGCAAAAACTTCCACCCAAGTGTACACTTTACTTCCTGCATCTCTGGCAACGTGTTAGGGATTTTTTTTTCTCTATTATATAGTTTTTCAGTTACAATTAACCGTAAAATTTTGTTAAATTGAACATCCTAATCTGGGCCTTGTTGTATTGTAAATTCCAGTACCTTCTTGTTCAAGGAGTTACTTTAATTTTTTTTAAAAAAGGATAAAATAAAACCAGGTCATTGTTCTCTTTTTCAGTGACTAGAGAGAATTTATAGATTTTCAGTTGTAACTTGCTTCCCTCCTAAAGTGCAAGTATCCCTCTCTGTTCTTTGGTTTGTTCATGTTCCCCCACAGTTTTCTGTGGAGAGTCTAACTCTGCACTCAGATGGCTCTTTGCTCCATTACTTTCGTGAGGATGGATGGGTTCCCTGGGAGGTTGCTAATGAAAATTCTTGTTCTCGATGTTTGCGTAGGGAGAATGAGGATCTTCTTGTTCACCTTAGTTTGAACTTGCTCATTTAACTAATTTATAACCCTTCAGGAAATGGGGATTTTACATTTATGTACATATAAGTGGCTGTTGAAACGCTGCTTTATGATTCACGAAGCAGTTTTTCATGCACTTTGTTGCCTTTTCATTGAGCCATAACCTGCGTTAGAAAAAGGAAGGACATCACAGGCAGGTCGCCATACTTCTGTCTGAGCCTCACGGCACTCGTAAATGAGCGTTACCCCCATTTGTTATTTTTATTTCAGTGCTTTTATTTTTTCTATTTTATGAGTTCATTTTTGCTCTAATGACTTCACACTTAAAGACAAATCAAGTATTAGCAGCACGTGTAATTTTGAAACTGTTGTCTCCAGGTGTCGGTTCTGAATTCTGACCAGCGTGCGTGTTACGTGGCAGACGCGCGGTGTTGGTGAGGTCTTTCAGCTGCATGAGTGTGACTTGTTTTCAAGGTCAGGACTCTGTATGTGCAATGCCTTCGCTGTCTGAGAAAGTGCAGGGTGAATTTTGAGGCCGATGGTGAGAAAAAGAAGTTTCCATCTAACAAAAAGATGTGTGATCATTTTAAAGTAATTTCTTTGAAGATTGTCCTCCGTGTTTGTACTGACATGTTGAATAAATGTTTCTCTGTGTTCACCATGCATGAATTTGGTATGTGTTTAACCAGCTCATATGTGAATTCTCATTGTGGTTTTATTGTGTGTAGTGTTGGTGCTTAGAAGTCTGTTTTGATTTTTCCGAAAGCTTCTGCTTAATGTTTTATCTAAGTAACTATGCAGTCTAATTCATTATTCTTTTAGTCAGCAATCCATTCAGTTGCCTTTATTATATAAAAATGCCATATGGTGTCTCCATGATTCATCCTGTTCATTCATTATTCATTGAGAAGATATTTTTTGAGCATCTGCTGTGCGCCAGACACTGTAGCAGGCGTGAGGGATGCACATAGCAACAAACCAGACGAAGACGCCTGCCCTTGGTGCAGCTTCCCTTTTAAAGGGCATGAAAGAGAGGGCGGGCGCTCGCCAGCCTCACTGTTTTCCTGTTCCTGCTGGGCCCACGCCTGACCTACGCTTCTCAGTCCCCGGTATCTAGGCCGGACCGTGGGAGTGGTTCTCACCGGTGGGACGTGAGCACAGTGGTACATGCCTTCCCAGGACGAGGCGGTTAATAGCTGTGTGCCTTTCCTGTCCTCTCAGTGAGCTGAGTGGAGAGAATTTCATTAGGACCCAGATGAGGGTGAACCCATAAAATGAAAGGAAACTAGTTTCTTGAATAATAGGTTGAGAAGAATATCTTGCCGACCCGCTTGACTTTGGTGGGAGCAAGAGGGAAACATTGTGGTCAGCACCGAGGTTTTAGTGTTTTCCCACTAGTTGGTGTGAGGAGTGGCGTGCTCTTAGAGCAAAACCTGAAAATGTGTGTCGTTGGCTTAGCTGTCTGGTGGCACCCTTATGAGGACACTGACATAGGAGAGACAAACCCATGTTGTACAGTGGTGACCAGCTGTGCAAACTTGTTACCTGTGATAACTTGGAAGGCATACCTCCTGCCGACTGAGCTTGAGGTCAAATGTTGGAAAGGATCAGAGTGTTACCGTGTGTGTTAACTGTGATTGACAAGGTATTACGAGGGAGAGGTGAGCTTGTGAAAGAATTTGCCAGTTCTCAAAGCAAAAACCGAAAGGGAATAGAGAAAGTTCTGACCCTAGGGACACTGAAAGGAGAAAACAGACTCTTTCTAGACCCTAGAGAGTAAGAGATAGGAGTTGAGAAAGGCTGGGAGCAACAAGGGCCTACCAGACTATCTCGGGTCAGCGGAAGTGGCTCGGTCCTGTGGCAAAGGTCAGATGAAGGTCCTTGTTCTTGGGTGCTCATTAGAATCGTCTTGGTTTCACCTACACAGCTTCTGATTTAATGGTCCAGGGTACATGAAACCTGGATACAGGCAATTTTTTAAAAGTTCCCCCAAGTAATTCTGTGTATTGTGCAGCCAAAGTTGGAAACCACTGACCTGCTGCTTCCCATGGCCTCCAGGTGGCTGCTGTGTGGTAAGTTGAAAGCAAGAGTCATAGAGGCAAAGACATAACTCAGGCCTGAGAAGTATGTCTAGGAAAGAACTTCATCATTACTGACACATGGAACTGATGGGAAACACACAGATCAGAGGTGTACTGAGTTTGGGGGGGAATTATATTGGCAAGAACCATGAGTCTGGACTGAACAAGCCATTGACTATTTGAGCTTAAAAACCACTTTCTAAAGACCCAGAACTTGCTAGGATGGGAAGTGGGTGATGGAGGTTATGTGGCCCCGAGGAGAGCGTGCCAGTGCCTGGTTGGACACAGTACTGGATGAGGAAGAGCCCCCTGTGCCTGTTCCACCGCTGTGTAGTGGGACTTCGGAGGGAGGGTGCAGGTAGTTTGGGTTTTTAGTTCATAGGTTGCATCATAAAGAGCTGCACATGACCTTGATGAAGAGGACTGAGCTATACCCAGAGTTCCTGGACTGGTAGTTAGATGCACTGGCCGAGTGGGTGGGACTTCAGGTTTTCTTTTGAGGGGTAGAAGGATTTGAGTGTGTTTTATGTTTGGAAAAAGTAGCAAAAAGATATGTAATGATTAGGAGTACTCACCAGTATTCCAAGTTTTCTTTTTCTTCCTGGACGTATAACTAGCGTATATGCATATAGCCCACCCTCCTTGCCATCAGATGGAGCCATGTGATTGGTTTTCACCAGGGAACTGTGTTAGGCAATGATCTATATTACTTCTGTGCCACGGCAGTTGAAAGCCTTCTCCATCTTCTCCATCTTACCCCTTCCAACTTGTACTGTACATTGGCCAAATGGAAATGTCTCCAGAGAAACTGGCCAAGGCAAAAGCTGTTAGAGAGAAGGAGGCCGGGTACCCAAAGGGACGGATCCACGCTCCTCGGCCAATTCACATTGGACAGTACATCAGAAAGGGGGTCAGGGGGAGGGGCGGGGAGAGTCCTACAGGCCTTGTTGAGAAAGTGAGATTTGAGCAGTCTTAGATGTCTGCCAGCAGACGTCTGGAGAAGAGCAGGAGTGTTTGGAGGAGAGCATTTGGTGTTAAGGCCCTTGGGCAGGAGTGTGCCTCTGAATTCAGGAAACAGCAAAGAGGTCAAAGTGGAACGAGCAGG